GAGTGGGGTTACAGAGAGTGAGTGAGTGGGGTTACAGTGAGAGTGAGTGGGGGTTATAGAGTGAGTGAGTGATTAACTTAGTGTTATTACATAAGGCAGTGAGTGAATGTATACTAAGTGTGAGTATACTCAAAGTGAGTGTTGTACTAAGTGAGTGGGACACGGCTAGAGTGCAATACGGAATGAGTGTGACAGACATTGAGTGAGTGTGATACTGAGTTAGTGCTATTTCATGTATGAGTTTGAGTGACATAAGCTTCTAAAGGAAGGTATAGGTTATCCAAACCACACTCCCACGAGTGACTGAGAGAGCATTGGAGATGGAGGAGGCTGCAGGACAAGGGGTGAGTGTGAGTGGCGGCTCGCCGATTACTGGGGTACCCAGGGAGTCTGGGTGGGAATATAGAACATCTGTTCATTTGTTTTATCCGACAGGAAACTAACCTTTATTCACAGCCAGAGCGATAGTTTATTTCCTTGTTTACCGCGGGAATGTGTGTAGTCTGAATTTTATAACACGACAGGAGGTGAGTATTTGCTTAAATCTCTCTTTACCAGAACTCCACAGCAGCACAGAAAAACGACCAATCAGAATAAAGTTAGGTTCTATAAAACTCCCCTCCCCATACAGCATTGCCTCTTTCTTTGCTGCTCCGCAGTCAGTACAGGTCAGAGTACCACTGCCTCCTGCTTCTAGTGGGGGGCTTAGGGATTTTATTTCTTATATTCAGTATTTTAGCCTTATAAATGCAGTATTGTTAGAATCCATGTGGGATTTTATTTTTATAATGCAGTATTGTTAGAATCCATGTGGGATTTTATTTTTATAATGCAGTATTGTTAGAATCCATGTGGGATTTTATTTTTATAATGCAGTATTGTTAGAATCCATGTGGGATTTTATTTTTATAATGCAGTATTGTTAGAATCCTTGTGGGATTTTATTTTTATAATGCAATATTGTTAGAATCCATGTGGGATTTTATTTTTATAATGCAGTATTGTTAGAATCCATGTGGGATTTTATTTTTATAATGCAGTATTGTTAGAATCCATGTGGGATTTTATTTTTATAATGCAGTATTGTTAGAATCCATGTGGGATTTTATTTTTATAATGCAGTATTGTTAGAATCCATGTGGGATTTTATTTTTATAATGCAGTATTGTTAGAATCCATGTGGGATTTTATTTTTATAATGCAGTTTTGTTAGAATCCTTGTAGGATTTTATTTTTATAATACAATATTATGTTCCCTGTGGTATTTGTTTTCTTCATATTCAGTATTTTATTTTCCCTTGTGGGATTTTTATGCTTATATATTGAATATTTTTTTCAGATATTTTTATTTAGGCCTTGTGGGATTCATTATATATGCAGTATTTTCCTTACACATGCAGTTTTGTTAAAACCCCTGTGGGACTTTATATTTTACTTGTAACTTCAGGCTATCACTGTTTTTTATACATATTTAGTTTGGATTTCTGGGGTGTCTTTGTGGTCCTTCTGTCTCCTCTGTCCCCTTGGCCTTGTTCCCCCTGTCCATCTCCCAACTTTGTGTATGCTCATTGTTATATTTTTTGTTCCGCCTTTGTCCTTATGTCTG